CAAAAAATATAAAGAAATTTTAGAAATTTCATAAACCATTATATTTTATAATACAATTTTTTTTTTAAACCAAAGATAGCTTGCATTACCAAGGAAAATAGATCAAACGATTACAACTCTATATGGAGCCAAGTGCAAAAAATCAAAACCAAGTACATCACTAGACAACAATATGAGAGCTTTTCGTGCCACCAAATGGGCTATTCTATTATGTTGTCTTCCAACAAACTGTATCACTACCCCAGGATACTCCTGCCTCAACGTCCACAACTCACGGAGAATGGTCCCACCAGTAACATCAACATCACTCCCAGCATTGACTTTGTCGATAATTACCTTTGCATCTCCACGAATCAACACTAAAGTGAGGCCTTTCGTCACGCACCAATGGAAGGCTTCTCGCAAGGCTACCGACTCCACCAGAGCGGGTTCATAACTCCCTCGAAGTCACTCCCCCTTAGCCAAAACCACTACTCCCGAGGCATCCTAAACAACCCACCCGATTGCCACATGAGATCCTCTGCATAAAGCACCATCAAATGAAGACAACATCCCATCAAGCGAAGCCACATTGCTCGACACATCATATGATAGAAACCTATTTCTAGGGTCCTATCGATTGTGATGGGTGATTGGGAATTTAGGGATTTGGAGATAGAATTGAGGATTGGGATTGAGAATTTGGGGAAGAAGAAGAAAAGAATAAGAATCGGCCGAAACCTTGGATTAGAGGAGAAGAGAAATTAGGAGATAGAGAGAGCTTAGGGTTTGGGGAGATAATTCTTCTATTGATTTCTGCTTGATTAATCGAAATAACAAAGACTGTAGCTTAAATAGTTCTCCCTCTCTAATAATGACAAATTACCCAAATACCCCAAAGAGCCCCTCGGCTCCCCCTACACCGTGTTTCTCACACTCCCCCCCTCTTCCAGACCGAGCTTGTCCTCAAGATCGAAGGCCGGATAAGTCTGACGAATCGTCTCCGTGTCCTCCCAAGTAGCGTCCTCTGGTGCCAAGTGCCTCCACTGAATCAAGGTCTCCGAGACCCGTCGTTTGCCTCGCAGAGGCCAGCGCACGTCCAACACAGCCTCAGGCTCCAGCTCCAAAGCGCCATTTTCATTCACCGGCGGCTCGGGTGATGTGGCCGGCGGCGCTACTCCTCTGTACCTGCGCAGCTCATCCAACATGTCATCCACCGTGGGAATGGGGAAACGATCACGGACAGTGGCGGTGTTGAGGGCGCGGTAGTCAGTACAAAACCTCCAAGTGCCATCCTTCTTCTTCACCAGCAACACCGGCGAGGAGAACGGGCTGGAGCTCGCCCGAATCAGCCCGGCCGTCATCATTTCCTCCACCTGCCTCTCGATTTCGGCCTTCTGGTTATGTGCATACCGATAGGGGCGAACGTTAACAGCGTCCGTGCCCTCCTTCAGCCGAATTCGATGGTCCACCTGGCGCTGTGGAGGAAGCTGAGTCGGCTGCCCGAAAAGCTCTGCATACCTGTCCAACAATGCCTGCATCTCCGGGGCTAGCTGCTGCTGATCGGAGGTCCCCAGCGGCCAACAGAGCACTGCCAGCTCTACATCAGCCGCCAGCTGCGGGTCACCCCACTCCACCGGCCCAGTTGCCGTGGTCAACCCCCGAAGCTCCCAGTCCTTGTCCCTTCATTTGAACCGCATCACCATCTTCACCCAGTCGCTAGTCACCGGTCCTAAGCTCTTCAGCCAAGGCATGCCCAGAATGATGTCGAATCCCTGCAATGGTAGGACGTACAAGTCAAGAGTGACCTGTAGCCCTTGAATCATCACAGGCACGCCTGCCAATTTCCCGGTACACTGCAGCGGTGCCCCATTGGCCACCGTCACCTCGAACGGAACGATGGTCACCTGTGATGTGGGTAACCGACGTACAAACTCTGCTCCCACGAAGTTGAGAGAGGCCCCGCTGTCCACCAGAGCCACTCCCCACTCCCCGGCGACCTGCGCCCTGAAACGCAGCGTGGCCGAGCCCGCTGTCACACCCGCGGCCACGGCGGAGATGGCCTCCTGCCGCCGCCATCCTCCGCCTGCTGGGCTACCGCCGCCGCCGAGGATCTCCCTTCCTCCCCGAGCAGACGACGCGGATTGGCCCCGCTCGCCGCGCCGCACGCCGACGTCCCCCTCTCCGCCGCGGTCGCGGCTTCCTCCGACGCGAACAGCTCCCGCCGCGGCGCTGCTGTAGAGCCCGCTGGGACAGCGGTGGTCGGGCCCTCCCTTGCGTCGCCCCGTTGCCGCCAGGTAGCGGCTACGCGCTCCAGTCGATCGAGAACCGCCTGCAAGCGATCGTCGAGCGAACGCTCCTGGTCCCCATCTGAGATTCCTGTAGAACTCATATCGACAGGCTCTGATACCAATTGATAGAAACCTATTTCTAGGGTCCTATCGATTGTGATGGGTGATTGGGAATTTAGGGATTTGGAGATAGAATTGAGGATTGGGATTGAGAATTAGGGGAAGAAGAAGAAAAGAATAAGAATCGGCCGAAACCTTGGATTAGAGGAGAAGAGAAATTAGGAGATAGAGAGAGAGCTTAGGGTTTGGGGAGATAATTCTTCTATTGATTTTTGCTTGATTAATCGAAATAACAAAGACTGTAGCTTAAATAGTTCTCCCTCTCTAATAATGACAAATTACCCAAATACCCCAAAGAGCCCCTCGGCTCCCCCTACACCGTGTTTCTCACATCATACTGATCCTGACTCCCACGAGTTCCCTGGTCCACCCTTGCTGCAGCACCCAGCCATTCGTGAACCTGATGACTAAGTTGACGATGCAATTCCACCAACTGAACTTGCATCAACTAAAAAACGACCCAATTTCCTGCTTCCCATACACGCCACAAAACTGCCACAATCTTACAGATCAACTCAGTCGTAGAAGAACTCTCGAGGAATCGACGCTGGAAAAGGACAAAATTAGTGGAATCTATCGATCCAGTCCAGTCCTGGGCTCCAACAGCCATCCACAGAGATTGCGCAACCGGACAATGAAGGAAAAGATGATCCATCATCTCCTCCTCCTCCCGACAAACAGGACAACGACGCAACACGTTGACCTCCTTCTCAAGTAACACCTTTATGGTTGGCAGGATACATGTGAGTATCTCCCAAAGAAAGAACTTTAACTTAGGCGGAAGATCAAGCGACTAAACTCTCTTCCACAACCCACGATCCATCCAACTAACATCCTCCTTCCACTTTCCTATAGCACGACTTCGATCAACTTTCCAGAGTGTTTTATAGCTTGGATCATAACTTATCTTGAAACAGCTAGCTTTAGTGTTACAGTTAAGGACAATCTATTTGGTTTTTTCTCAGCTAAAAAGGGGGTAAACCTGGGGGAGACAACTCCCTTATCATCCCTTCCCTCTTTACTCTAGCAATGGAAGTGTTATCAACACTCATAGATCAAAATGCTTTGGATAGACAGCTCTCTTACCATCCCCAATGTAAAGCTTTTGGTTTAACACATCTATGCTTTGCGGACGATCTTTTAATATTTATGGAAGGATATGCATTTTCTTTGGGAAGTGTTAGAAGGATCCTAGATAGCTTCTTCACGTTATTAGGCCTTATTAATTGTAATCATACTAAGAGTGAGGTTTTCTTTGGAGGAGTTGGGGATAATGAGAAGAGGCTAGCTCTATCTTGCTATGGATTCAGGGAGGGTAAGATGTCAATGAAATATCTAGGCCTCCCTTTGCAATCAAGTAGCCTTTCATGTGCAGATTGTATAGTTTTGGTAGACAGGATTACAAGGAAGGTGCGTTCTTGGAGGGATAGTAAGCTTACTTATGCAGGGAGACTTCAATTAATCTCCTTTATTCTATTGTCTGTGACTCGATATTGGATGCCAATCTATGTCTTGCCAAAGACAGTCATTCAGAGCATCCAGAAAATTTGCTCAGACTTCCTTTGGTATGGTGAAGGGGGTCTTGGTCTAAGAGATCTCTATTCCTGGAACATTGCCTATGTTTCAAGGATGATTTGGATGTTGATGATGCAAGGAGGATCTTTCTGGGTAGCGTAGATATGCAGGCACACACTAAAAGGGCACTCTATTTGGGAAATGAATGAATCACAATCTGGTTCTTGGCTATGGAGAAACCTGTAATGGCCGAGGCCATAGTTTCAGGTTTGAATGCAACAAGAAGAAAATGGTTCGGTGAGCTGGGAAGGCAAGAAATTGCAAAAATTTACTATTAAAACCATTAGACCAACGCAACCAAAGGTGGAATGGAGCAAGGCGATATGGGGGAAATTTGTGGTTCCTAAGTACATAGTCGTAACCTAGTTTGTGCTTTTGCACAAAATCAAGACTTGTTCCCAATTAAAAGAATGGGGATACATTGATTGTGATCTCTGTCCTTTCTGCCAGCAAGCACCAGAGACCAGGGAACACTTGTTCTGTCAATGTTCATTCTCAAACGAATTTCTGAACAAAATTTTCTTGACTATGGTGTGGCCTACTCAATGGGATGAAATGGTATATACTCTAAGTAGATTAAACAAGCAAAGCAACATGATTGGAGTTCTGTGGAATCAGTACATAGTTGTGGTATGAAAGGAAAGGTGCAATAGGATTTTCCAGGAGACAAGCCGAGTGGCAGAGGAGGTTTTATGCCAAATCAAGCAAGAAGTGCAGCTTATGTGTAGCTCTGAGTTTTAGGAGTCTCTAAATAGATCATGATACTTTCAGTTTATTCAGAGTTAAGAGTGATTTGTGCAACTGTTTGAGAGTGTAGTTGTAGCTTTGTTATACTGTATAATGAAAGGATAGTAGTGTTTTTGCTGTAACTGCTTTTGCAGTAATTCCCCCTGGCCATATTTGATCAAGGATGAGCTAATGCGAGACAACGATTATCGAAATAAAATTAATACAAAAGGAATACAATTTTAATTATCAAGTGTTAGGTAAGAATTACAACTAAAATAAATACTAAAGAGAATAGAAATAGAAGCAGTCGAGAATATAGCGAAATCCAACATCCAGTTACTTGCATATAAGCTATTTATGGAGAAAAAAAAAGTTTGACAAAAATTAAATCAAATACATCACTATCAAAATCGTCACAAATTCCCGCAACTAAGCGCAGACCAATAAACTAGTATAATATTATAAATATATCCACCATGTGCAACTTCCAAACCAATCTAAGAATCTATCCCATTTCTAGAAATGAAGTACATCTTATTTCCATCCATTTGAACTTTCGAGAGAACCCTCGACAAGAGAAGAGCGAGTACAGTAATTACAGCAAGCAATGAGCTGGAAATAGAATAATTACCATGATAACGAAGGTTAACTCTGTCAGGGGAACTCTAATGGCAGCAACCATATTGAACAAAATATTAAACAGAAGCTGTTTTAGTTGCAACGTGGAAAATAAAATCTCTATCTGTCAAGTTTTACAACCCTTCACATATCATCACTTAACTACACCCATTTGGGAAACGAGTTCCTCGGTCTCTGGCGATGGATTGCCGCCACCAGCATTCTCTTCTCTTCTGATCTTCAATCATCTCTTGCCATTACCAGTGGCTCGACTGGCGACGAAGTTCCTGAGAGAAGGCGATTGGGTAAGACCGTCGGGCGCGATCGTGGTGTTCTGGGTTCCATTCTTAATCTGCATTCTTCTCCTGGCCATGTACCCTCTGATCCAGGGAGTCACATCCTCGCTGATCTTGATCATGACGAAGAAGATGATGCGGTAGATCACTATCATGCTGAAAATCACGCTGAGGTCAATCCACTTGGACCTGCGGATGTTGATCTGGAAGATGTTCTCCAGGATGTACTCCCCTGGGATCTTGGGGAGATCCGGGCTTTGGTTGTTGAACAGCAGCCCGTTCAGGTCATTCTGGTATTGCCCCTGAAAGATGTTCGACGAAATGTCCCAACGGGTTAAGTTAAAACTCTGTTTCAGTTTGAATCAAAGGAAGAACCAATCGAGGTTTCTGGTGTCGAGAGTTTCAATTCACCTGAAGAGCCCAGAAGTGGAAGCTGATGTATGACATGGGGTAACGCCAGACGGGCTTCGGAATGTCGTTTGGCAGCCTGAAGTAGCCCGAGACCAACATGAAGATGCCCTGAAAAATGTTTCCATCAACCAACCCAGGATTGTTATGGATTAAGCTTCATTTGGGGAAATTAAGAGAACGACAGGGGAAGAAGAAGGGTGGGAGAACCTGAATTCCAGCTCCAATGATGATACCCATGAGGAAGTTGGGGACAATACTGGCAATGGCCATCATCAAGCTCTCAACAACCGTGACACTTGCGTACAGGCAGAGCACGAAGAAGAGGTAATGGGTGAAACCCGGGTGGAGCCTGACCATGAAGTAGCAGATTGTTCCGGAGAGGAAGGTGATGGTGATGAGGAACGGCATCGCCGAGAGTGTGTTGCTGATCACGAATGCGGTCACTCCGTAGTGGCCATTCAGCCTCTCTCTTTGGAAAACCTGAAGCAGGGTTACCAATGAAATTAAGCATCAGAATTCTACGACGAAACACTAATAAAGTTGTTGTGGAATTGTTTTAACCTTCATGTCTTCCACGAAAGATGGGAAGCCTCCAATGGACATGAACGTGACGAAACCGAACACGAATGAAGCACAGGAGCCTCTGGCCTGGGTTCAGAAACAGAGAGAGTGTAAACTTAAGAGGCAGAGAACACAGAATGTTCAACGAAATCTCGAAAGTAACAAAGTTTCGTTCTTTCTTCTTAATTACCAGGATTGAGTTGTAACTAGTGCCGACATTGAAGTATATGGTTCCGATGCAAATGGTGACCACGATGTAGATGACGAGCCTGAGCCAGTAGTAACCGAAGTCCCTAGACATGTTGACGAAGGAGCGCTTGGTCAGAGTGAAAGCCTGCATCGGGAAACTAGCCTGGCTCCCTCCTGCATCAAGCACCGTCCCTTTCTGCAGATACCAAAAAACGAAATGCAATTCAGAAAACCATAATTGGCCTTCGTTCCACTATTTTGATCATCAGGAACAGAGCACTTACGACTTTGGAGATCTCATCCACCTTCTGCCTTGCAGCATAACAATACTGAGAAGTTCGGTAGTAATCAACCAAAGTACGGATCGCTTCAGCTGTGGTGATCTTATCCAGAGGATCCTCCGATGCATCAAACTGATAAACACACCAAAGGGAGGGAGGAATAAGAAATTCAATCAAACTGGTTTTCATTGGGGGGAAGGTAAGAAACGAGAGAGAAGAAAGGCAGGGTACCCGCAGTTTCATGGATCCTTTGAGAGTGGCCTTCACTTTGTCGAAGTCGGCATTGACGCATCGGAGGAAATGATCAGATGGGTTTCTCAAAGCAGGGCAGGGGAATCCGGCTTGCGCAAAGAACTGTTCGATAAAAAAATTAGTCTGAGATTGCAGAGATGGAGAAGGAGAAAACACAGAAAAGTAAAGAATCCATAGCGTGAACTGAAACCTCGTAGGCATCTGAAGCCTGGCCGAAATACACAGTCTTGCCACCAGAGAGGAGGTAAAGTCGATCAAAGAGCTCAAAAACTTCACTGCTCGGCTGGTGGATGGATGCAATCACAGTTCTCCCGTCCCTCGACAGTCCACGCAGCGTCTGCGTCACAAAGAACGCCGAAGCACTGCCCAAAGAAACACACCCACAAAATTGATCATCAATTGCCGTAAAAGAAATCAGCTTTCACAGGTTCGCAGGCTAAGATAAGATATTCCGAATGCGTTACAAGAAAGAAACCTGTCCAGCCCGCTGGTGGGTTCGTCGAGGAAGAGCAATCTGGGTCGCATCAGGATTTCGAGGGCAATGCTGACTCGACGCTTCTCGCCGCCGCTGATCCCCCGGAGATGCCAGTTCCCAATCACCGTATCAGCACAGTCCTGCAAGCCCATCTCCACTATGGTGCTCTCAATCAGCGCCCTTTTCTCCGACCAAGGCATCTTGTCCGGCAGGCGCAGCCTGGCCGAGTAAGATATCGTCTCCCTCACCGTCAGCGTCCCAATCAGGTTGTCGTCTTGCGTCACATACGCCTGCGACAAAAACAGAGTAAGTGTCCGAAAAACAGAGAGGTACAGTTCCTAACCCAAAATTAAAATTAAAAAAAAAAACAAGACTTTACGGCGGTTCCGAAAGAGAGCTTGGTTTTGCGGCCGTTGAGAAGGATGGAGCCGGAGAGAAAAGCGTTCGCCGCCAGACGGCTAGAGAGAGCATCGAGCAGAGTGGATTTGCCGGAGCCAGAGGGACCCATCAGCGCGGTGAGGCTGCCAGGCTCCGCATAGCCGGTGAGTCCTTCGAGGACATTCTGAGTCTCGCCGTTGCCAAGGGTGACCATCACCGTCAGATCCTTCCACGTCAGCCTGGCGGAGACGTCGCCGACGAACTCCGTGTTGGTCCGTTCCCGCCACAGCGTCTCGCTCAGGGGGCTGAGCCCGCCGACCACCATCCCGTTCCCCGCCGGTTTGCTCGCCTCTATCTCCATCATCACCGTCGCCGCCGCCGCCGTTGCAGAGGGATCAGAGGATGAGTTCCTCATATCTCAGGGAGGAATTGCGACTACTTATATACCAGAAAAGAAGAGAAGATGAGAGAAATGGGATTGGCGTGTTAATGAGTGGTTGGGTGGGGGAGAAGGCGGTTCATATGAGGAACCAGTAACTAAATTAGGTTTGAATGAAGTAAGCGTGTCTTCCTCTCCTCAATGTTTCATATGGATGGTGCCTTTGGCTAAGCCTCTTTTTGGGTTTGACGATGGAGACCGGGTGACGCCAAGTAGGAATGTTATGTTTGCTTTCAGCTTCCAAAACTGTGGCTTTGCTCTGTTTCTTCTTCTTTCCCTGAGCAGTATGAAAATGATCAGTTGGGGAGATAAGAGGGAAGGGAAGGCGGATGGATGGATGGCGATCTGATGGAGACCACTACTGCTAATTAGTTCGTTGGTATGGGGAGGGGAAGGGAATTAAATGGGAGGGTTTGGGTAGTTGTTGGGAAGGAAGGGGCATTAAATACTTGGACCGACCTTCATTCATTAAGTTGTTCGTGCCCTACTTTCATCTTCTCCAGTTGGGGAGATAAGAGGGAAGGGAAGGGAAGGCGGATGGATGGCTGGATGGTGATCTGATGGAGACCGCTACCGCCAATTGGTAATTAGTTCGTTGGTATGGGGAGGGGAATTAAATGGGAGGGTTTGGTCAAGTTGTCCGCGGGTTGACTCGGACTTGGTTGAGCTAGTTGGTCAGGGGTTAATGGGTCATTCGTTTTAGTTCGTTTTAGTCCGGAAATATGAAAAAAGTCATTATAATGTACTTATCCTGATAAATTATACCAAATTTCATCTAACATATGAGTAATAACATATAACATTACATCAAAGTAACATGTCGTACTTAGATCCAACATATAGTAAAAATTCACACACACTTATATAACATCAATATTCAAATGTTCAACTAAAGATTCCAAAGATTGAGTTAGGCGAAAAGAAAAATTGGAAAATAGGCGCATTTCTCAAACCAAAGAAAAAAAATGACACAATTTGACCTCTAATCCGATTCCCTGTAGCGATCGACCCGACAGGTGCGTACGACCCATTTTTCTCATCGAGTCAGGGTCAAAATGGGTCGACTTGTGGATCAACCCGCGGGTTGACAACCTTGGTTTGGGTAGTTGTTGGGAGAAAAGGGGCATTTAATACTTGGACCGACCCTCATTCTTTAAGTCGTTCGTACCCGACAGGTGCGTACGACCCGATGAGAAAAAAATGACACAATTTGACCTCTAATCCGATTCCCTGTAGCGATCGACCCGACAGGTGCGTACGACCCATTTTTCTCATCGAGTCAGGGTCAAAATGGGTCGACTTGTGGATCAACCCGCGGGTTGACAACCTTGATTTGGGTAGTTGTTGGGAGAAAAGGGGCATTTAATACTTGGACCGACCCTCATTCTTTAAGTCGTTCGTGCCCTACTTTCATCTTCTCTTTTATCCTCTGCCTGCCTTGTGGGCGAGCTAATGGGCTATGGCAACTTGGCAATGTGAATGGTCTCCATTGACAATTGTTTGGTTTCTAGTGTTTTTACTTTTTATGGGCAAATCTTTAATTTGCATGATAGATATACCAAAGCTTTCTAATATTACATAAATTGTTAGAAATGTATTCTTTTCTTCATTTTTATATTTAAAAATAATTTTATACCACGTTGATTAATTACAAAGAAAAATAATTAATGTCTTTAGAAGACCAGCTCAACTTTAAGGATTAAATTAGGGTTATATGTATAATATGCCCCTCTACTATGACGAATTATCAAACATGCCCTTCTACTATTTTTTATATCAAACATGCCCCTGTATTTTGTAAAAATGATCAAACATACCCTTTTATTAAAATTTTGATCCAAAAAACGTTAACAAAGGTCGAACTTTGGTTTAGGCGGCACAAATGTCTAAAATATTCCTAATAATTTCACATTTAGAATTTTTTTAGTTCTTTTGTATAGCCAAATAATTCGAATAATTTCACTTTGAATAGACCCAGAGAAATAAAACGGGAGACAAAACTGACATTTTCGCTCCCATTTGCCGATGTCGGTTCGTCTAAATCTCAGTTCAACCATGATTGGCGATTTTTTCAATGGAATTTTAACAGAAGGGCATGTTTGATAATGTTTTCAAAGTACAAGGGCATGTTTAATATAAAAAATAATAGAGGGGCATGTTTGATAAAATGTCATAGTAGAGGGGCATATTATACCTATAACCCATTAAATTATTAAAATAGGACTTAAGGGGTTGGATTTTTGTGCGTAACACCCCTGTTGCTAGCCGAAGTGACTGAAAGCCCGTCATCATCATGACCTAGGTGGTCAGCCAGTCCCAACAGGCTAGATGATAAGACGTATGTAACTAGCCCGTGAGTATGAAATTAAGATTCCCGGAAATTAAGTATGGAATCCTGATGGCTTGTCGGCAAAGCGGCAAGTACCAAGTCGACAAGACAAGTTTGGTGACAAGTTAATAGAGCCCCAAGCTGGCAGGGTGACGAGGAGTCAAGTTGATTACACATACTTGGTGACAGACGACTAGGTACCAACCCGATGAGATGGAGGTGATAAAGTGGCCATTTGACAGGGTACCAAGCAGATAGGGTCACAAATTGATGAGGCTCCAAAACTAAGTAGGAAGATCAAGTAGAAAATATAGGCTTGGTGTCTAGCGGGCATGGTACCGAATCCTACAGGTAGAGACTTGTTAGGCAAGGTACCAGCCAGACAAGACAGACTTGTCAACAAGCTGACAAGACGGGTTTGGTGGCAAGCTAGCAGGATACTAAGTCGACAAGGTAATAGAGTATCAAACAAGCTGACAGGGTACCAACCCAACAGGATGGAACAATACCATGAGACTTAAAAAAGCATGGAGATCAAGCCGACAAGATGGACTTTGGTGGCCACAACAAGGTACCAACCCGATGAGACAAAGGTGACAAGGTTGGTAGCTGATAGGGTATGAAGCCGACAAGACGGGCTTGGTTGCAAGACTGCCTTGGTACCAAGCCGTTAGGGTGGCAAGGTAACAACTTGATTAGCCTAAAAATTTTATGATCAAGTTGTCATTATGGACTTAATTGGTGACCACATAACAAGGTACCAAACCGGTAGGGCGGCACTCAGGGGCGGATACATGGGCCTCTAGGGGTGTCCCGGGACACCCCTAAAATTTGGGGAAACGATTATCCAACCTCCGATAATAGTTTCATATGGGTATACAAAATATAATTGGTAATCCGGGACACCCTAACATTTGAAAAAATGATTATCCTGCCCTCGATAATAGTTTGTTTATGATTAACAAAATATAAGTGGTAGTCCGTGTTATTCCAACCTAGGACACTACTATTATCAAACATATTCTAATTATGTTGCTACTCATTTGTTATTCTATTTTAAACATCATGCAACAGTAAAACGCTATTTCTTTATCCCCAACTATTTTCATTACCTAATAATTAAACTACGTACACACTACCCTTAATTTTGAATTGATTTTATGGTTACATGGCAAGTGTTGAAAGAGTCTTTTCTACTTCGAGCTACATTAAGAACAAGGTTAGAAATCGAATATGTGATAAGTTCGTGAAGTATTGTCTAGTAGGATATGTAGATTTTTTTTAACAGTGCAGACACGGAGTTTATTTATATTATTTTTTCAAAATATGAAAACACATCATGAATTTTAATAAAAAATTTATACAAGAATGATATTTTTAATATACGAATTTTTTAATTTATTATTTAATTAAATTTAATTTTTAAGAGGACACCTCGTGAAAATTTTCTGAATCCGCCACTGGCGGCACTGTACTAGTTTGATGAGGCTGCAAAACAAATAACCCTACAGAAAAACAAATAAAAGAAAAAAAAAAAACAAAATAAAAATTATATAACGTTAAACCCGCACGGCTCGGCGGTGGGCCGTATTCGTCCAAAAGGAGGAGAAAAAAGGGTAAGTGCGAGTGAGATTGGCCAGCCGCACAATCCGACGGTGCCCACCCTCTTTTTCCTTTTTTTCCTTTCCCATTGTGAGCCAAACTATAATTTTTTTCCTTCTTTCCCACCCACACTGTGGGTAGTCTTATATACATTCACAATGGCCTTAAAGATAGCAAGAAATGATCTTCCTAGAGCAAGAAGAACTTCTCTATATCCTATTTAATATCTAAGATGATGAAATCAACGACATATACGAATTTATCTACCTTAACTAGCAAGTCTTCTACTATACCCTTCAAGCACACAATCTACATTAACTAGCAAGTCTTTCTACTATACCCTTCAAGCACACAATCGATCTAGTAGCTAGTTGAATTTCCATCCTTGTGCACACAATCTACCTTAACTAGCAAGTCTTTCTACTATACCCTTCAAGCACACAATTGATCTAGTAGCTAGTTGAATTTCCATCTTTGTGACTTGTGAGGATGATTCACCGAACCCTAGCCTATTGAACTTTCGATAATGCATAACTTTTGTACTAGCTCCTAAATCTGCAAGTTGCTTGTGATGCAAGGTATAATAACACTCAATAGTAAAACTACTTCTCTGGGATTTCTCATATGCAAATTGCCACCTGGTTTGGTTTCTAGATTAGTGTTTGCTATGGTGCCCAAAAACGCCATGCCTATTCTTGTAAATCTTATATAACTCAATTCGCTTCTATAAAGGGGAACAAAGATGACACACATTTTATTTCCATCACAGGACACTATGAAGGGTTCAACAAAGACACATGGCATTGACAATGAACACAACACTTAAAAAAAACCAAGTCTCAGTCCCCGGTAAAAAGAGATACAAAAACAAACACAAGGTGCAGGTAAGGTAAGCGTGCTGCTTTACAACTCTTTGAGATCCACTCAGCAATGGCAGTAAGCTTAGTAGTCTTCAGGAGCCAAAGGCTGATGATGGGTATGAAGCGGCGGCTCGGTGGGGATGATCATGTACTCGTAGATGATCGCCGCCAACCCTCCGCCGAGGAAAGGACCCAGCCAGTAGATCCAATGGTTCTTCCATCTCCATCCCACCAACGACGGCCCGAACGCCCTCGCCGGATTCATTGCCGCGCCATCGAACGGGCCACCGACCAAGATGTTCGCCCCGACTATGAGCCCAATCGCTAGTGGCGCCATGATCCCCAAACTCCCTCTCTTGGGATCGATGGCCGTGGCGTAGACCACGTACACCAGCCCGAACGTCAGCACAATCTCCAGTATCAGCCCGTTCCCCTCGCCCACCCCGGATGTCACATAGAACCCAACCGGCCTCTGCGCAAAAGAGATACAATCACAAAAATTATATTACGGAATGTTCGAAATGGTACCCCGAATCAGAATCAGAACGTGTACTCCGCCCAAGTACGTTTAACTTCGTGACCAACAGGGTTTAAGTATGAAATGGTACCATGCCGTTTGTGACGAGACGGAGCAGGAGAGAGGCGATGATGGAACCGAGGATCTGCGCAATCCAGTAATAGATTGCGCGAACAACCGAGATCCTCCCTCCAACAAGGGCCGCAAAGGTGACAGCTGGATTGACGTGTCCACCGGAGACGTTGATGCTAGCTGCCACCGCGGCGAACAGTGCCAGCGCATGCGCCAGGGCGATCATCACCAGGCCGGAAGCCGGCGGCCCTGTTTCCTTGTACAGCTTGTCTGATGCACCAAACACATGCTCTCCGATTATACCAAACCAGAAATTGAGAAAACAAAAGCAAAAAAAAAAAAAAAAAAAACCAACGAATGCTAAGATGAAAACTGTACCAAGAGCAAGAACAGAGCCTTCCCCTGCAAACACAAAGATGAAAGTGGAGACAAGCTCGGCCAGAGTGGCTCTCATTGAATCAGGATGGGTGGCCTCGTCCGCCCTCCCGAACGCGTACCTTCGAGGCATGATCTCTGATTTCCCCCAAAATTAAGCTCTCAATGTAGCAGTCAAATGGGTTTCAAGCATCAACCAACTAAGAATGTTGAGAAGTACATAGACTAATAGAGGTAGATGAATGGAAGCAGCAGAGGAGGCGGAAGAGAGAGAGAGAGAGAGAGAGAGAGGGCGGTTGCATGGATGAGAAGTGGAAGTGTTATAGATGAAGATTGGGAAGAGACGTTTTGGAGCCATGGTGGACAGCTGTTGGATTCTTATGCATGCTGCTCGCCACGTAGAAGAACTAGCCTTCCAACTGGACTGGTTTTTTCTCCTTTGTTTCGTCCCTATCCCTTTTCGTTGCTTCTCTGTTCATCCATTTGACACAACAGTCAAAAGGAAAAAAAGCAAAGGCAAACTCTGTGTTCTGGTTTGTTCGCCGCATACCGGAGCAAATTTAACCTCTTCTGCATTTAGTGATCTTGCGACGAACTCTGTTCCCCTGTTGCAATTGAAGAACTCAGCGATCTTAAAAGGTTGCATTTGTCATTTGAGCTCTACAGAATTAAATTAAATTATTAAACCATAAGATTTTTTTTTACTATTGCATACGACAAAAACGGGGTTACCTTTTCTAATTCGGGATCACTGTTCACAAACCACCTTTTTTCTTAATTACATGCGGCCGTGTGTACGAACCGCGAGTGAAACTCCATGGCGGCTGCCCAAGCATCTCCAGTTCCCCACTCTCCAGCCCTCTCAACAAACACGACCCTTCGTGATTGAATGGGAGGGAGCTTTATCTATAATCTTCTTTTCCTCTACAAATGATGAGATTTATTATATACATTTGAATTTGATTTTATTATCATTATAGTACACGTTACAAAAGTTTTTAAAGATGGTTGTTAGTTTATCTAGGTGTGGTGGATGTTCTCATTCCCATATTACCACTAGACCAATTACTTGACTTCATTGCGAAAGATTTACGTAACAATACTTGGATTCCACCGCGAAAGATTTTACGTAACACTATTCTATGATAGTTACATAAATTACATATACATAATGTAAAACTTATGAAAAACTCTGCGAAATATATATTTACATAACACTATTTCATGATAGTTATAAATTACATATACATAATGTAAAGCTTATTGAAAAGTATTTGTTTCTTATTTATCAATTAAACAGATTATGAATTGCACAAGTAGCGGCAAAAGCTGCACACGATTCCTCATGAAAAATGGACAATATTGTCAGTCAATACAGTACATAATGTATTTTTATTCCATACACCCAATTTTTACCATAAACTCTATATTATATAAAAGTTTTGTAAGTTTGGTTATTTACCATCTCATCAATGTTTAAGTAGAGGTTTCGTAAGGTTAGTTAATTTTTACATTATAGTTTAATCAAATGTGATAGATGTTTCGTAAGGTTAGTTATTTTTTACAGAACAGTTTAATCAAATGCTTATGTTTCGTTACGATATTTTATTAATTGACCACATATTATGAAATATGAGTGTGACACTATTCTATTACAGTTACATAAATTATAATTACAATATATAAATGTTATGGGGATAGCTATTTCTTATATATCGATTCAAAAATCCTACTATGTAAGCCTTCAATATAAAAACTTGGGCGGGATAGTTATTTAGTAGTTATAAATTAAAAAAAATTATTATGTAAATCTAACTTTTTTATTAATTTGAATGAAAATTCATGTTTTAACTAAATTGTGAATCATCTCATCAATTTGCATCTCACAAATCCTTTGTAAGGGAAAATATTTTTTACATAATAGTTTTATCAAATGTAATATTTTTTATAGAATAATTCATATATTATTTAATAAAACTCATTCATTATTAACTAAATTATTCACCATTGCATTATGCAAAGGTTCCATATGATCAGCTAACTTTTGCATAACATTTTAATCAAATGTGATACTATATATAACAAGATTTTATTATTAGCCCACCTGTTTCTGTCATATTTATGTAACAATATTCTATTACAGGTCAGTTATGTAAAATTGTAAATTATTTCGCTAAGGTTCGAATAAGAGAAAGTTCCCGCCTTAGTTTGACTCTCCCAAGATAGAGCTTTCAAAGCGAGATCGTTCCTATGCCTTAGTGCTTCTAGCAAATAAGATCTCATGGTGGTCGATCACATTAATTTGCATGTCTTCCGCCGGTGATGGGCTTCCGAAGAATGAATAAGGATCCATTAATAGAAAAAAATTTAGGTACAACATGAACGCTTTATTCGTTCACTATGACTGGATGTGTACTTGCGTGATTGATTGATGAACGGGGGAATTTCGTGCAATTTTAGAGAGACAGGAAAGTGAAAGCCTATGGGGTTGCTTTTGTACCTGGATAACGAGCATCGAAAACCGCCTTTATATTGGACGGTTTGGTGTTTTGATGATCCCTAATGGACAGGTCCAATAAGATTCTTTCTTGAACAAAAACCCATTTTTTTATTTCTTTCATCTATTCCATGATCGGAACGTGGGGGGATACACGTTACACCATGACAATACATTATGTAAATTTTATGGATGGATAATTATTTCTTATATATTAGTTAAACACATGGTTTACATGAGTCTCCCATAATGATTAAGACACCATGTAAAATTTGCGGAAAAATAATTAATACTTATGTACCAATTAAATAAACATATTCTGTAAGTATTACATAATGATTAAGACATTGTAGAAAGCTTATGGAGGGATTGTTCTTGCTCATATATCACTTAAACAAAAGTCTGATTTATGTCATTCGTAATGATTAAGGCATTACGTAAAAATAATAGAGGTATTTACCCCGAATAATTTTGTGAGTTATTTGTTTGGAATTGAATCATTATATAAGTGGATAGAGTTTAAAATATAATGAGTTCTTACCGCGACGAAGTGCGGGCCAAAAAACTAGTTCAGATTAAACACATAAAAAAACAAAAAAACAGAAGGTTAATCGTCCTTCTACAGTCGATCAAATGGTTGGCCTTGCTCTTGTAAGATTTGGAGCATGATTACGGCATTGAAAAGGTTTATGATTTTTGTTCACAGTTTTGGCCTAGTTAATGCGAACATATTCATATTGTCATATACTCTGATCGTTGTAACTTAATACAAAACATATCACATATTGTCACTACCCATAAATACATGTTTATCAAACTCCAACTACATTTTACTTACTTTTCTTACCAAATCACCATGAGCATTGTTTATTAGGAAAAAAGTTTATGATCAAAACTAAAAGATGTCTGATGTGAATAATCACAAGTTACAACAGAAAATGCTTATTATGAAAAAAATTGCAGGCAACAGTACCCCATGGTCTAAACTCATAGGAAAAGCCTTTGTCTTATACAGGGATTGTTAAGCTCCCAACCATTTTAACTTTAATTCTTTATTCACTAAACATGGCTCTTTCTAAGTTTCTCTCTACAACTCTCTCTAGATTTACACAAACCATCTCCTATATCAATACTAACTCTAACACAGTAATTTTTTTTTTAAAAACATTTCTATGTTACTATCTATTACAAATTTTATTGTAATTTTCATGAACTATAGGGCCATTACTCGAAGAGGCCACATATTTTGCATAAAATTCTTGTCTTTTATCCTTTTTCTTTCATTTTCAATTGGACACATATTTTCGTCATTTCTCTTTTTTTTTCATTTCTTCTAATAATTTCCGTAATCATCTTTTTATTATTTATTATTTAATTGTTTTGTTATCCTGTAATCGATACCTTTGTTTGTATTTGACGCATATTTCGACAATGAGTTTTTCATTCTCTTATGGTTATTTTTTGTCATTTTGAATCTTATTTATTGTCATTTTGTGAGTTTTCCGATTATTCAACTAGAAACCAACCAATCACACCTTTTTGGATTATGTGTATATCGACGATGCGCTTTCCATGTTTTAATTCTTATAGATTGAAAATCTATGTGAATTTTTTGACTATTCAACTAGAGGTCCACTCATCACACTTATTTTATCACGTGTGTTTCGAGAGACATTTTTCATTTTGATAGTCTTTATCGATTGAAAATCTTTATAAGTTTTCAAACTATTCAAATACATATTTTGTTTTTGCACAAAGTCCTATTTCCAAATACGAGACGTTTGACTATCGAACCCAATTTAATCTGATAGCCTCATAGCTTACTAGTAGTATTATAATTGGAGTTTGACTCAATAGTTTCAACTTGATCTTATATGTGGTTGAAACACACTTTTTTTGAACACACACTTTATTGAAGATTGTATTGTGTGACTTTCTATTTTTAACACATTCCTTCATATTTAAAAAAAATACAATCTTAATAACATAACATAAGAACTGAACATCGGTTTCATATATAATAAAAAAATAAAATAACATAAGAACTGAACATCCCGGGCCCGAGGTTCGCACGGACTTTCGACCTACTTATAGTGTAAATAATTTGGGGCCAATATTATGGTGCCGCGATAAAAAGCGCGGTACCAGTGACGTTGAATATGATTGGGCCACGTATAGCTGATGTGGCAGAGCTGAATTAACCCAAGCCCAAATATTGACCGTGCAAGAAGTGGCCCTGCCCCTAACGACCAACTGACCAAACAGACGGAAAGCTCTCTCCGTCTTGGTTTTTTTCTCCAACCTACAGGAATAAACGACCACGACAAGACAACCCAGAGCCCATAGTTGTCTTCCGCTCTGTTCCCTCCGTCTGACTGTGAAAGAAACACAACTTTCTGATGAACTTTTCTACCGCCTCAATCTCCGATACAGCCTACCCGATTCACCTCCACTAAATTTCGTCACGCCTCCGTCCTCCTCGAAATCTTATCTTCCTCTTATTTGGCCTCTAATCAGAGTCCTCGATCCGAATTCTGTTTCTACGTCGGTTTATCTATTCGTTTGGCTTTGTTGGCTTGGTGGGTTCGTATTGCCCGTCCAAGGTTGGGGTTCAATTCACATTTATTGTTCTCCTTTGTTTCCGGATTACAGTGGAGCAAAAATTTAATCTTGAGAATGAGAGGGTTGTTCTAAGATTGTGACGCAGGTAGGCTTGGCTTGCGTTGCTTCTTTCCCCAATCGG